CACATAGACTGAAAATGATAATAGTATTTATGTAAATTACTCATATTAACTTAAACCTTTAATATATTTTTAATTATGTATGTTTTACCAACTAAACATTTAAAATTCATTTTTATTTTTATCATTTTAAATACTTGATTGAATCTTTGTATTAAATAACAGAATTTTAAAATGATTAATAAACCTGCAGTATAGGTACAATATTAATTAAAATTATTTGATGATATATTTATTTTTAACGATAAGTATAAAGTTTCACCAAAGTTAAATAGTTGAAGATAAAAATCTGTTGTTTTACATATAAATTTGAGTCCTAAAGTAAAACTCAAAAGGTAATTTTAGGTAATGTTTATTTTTAAGATTGGTCACATAGATGGTTTATTGAAAATTTCTAAATCCTTTCAGCATTTTTTAAGATATAGCCTAGCCATGTTGCTCTAAACTTTCAGGACAATACCTTAAAGTAAACTTTATTTTCTAGTCTAATAAATTCTATGATATAATTTTATCATATTGAGATGAATTAAAACAGATGAACAACTATAAATGTAATAAGTGAATAAACATAAATTTTAATGTATTTCATAAATAGAAATAATAATATTACTTTTAATTATTCGATTATATTAATGTCTTCTAAAAATAAATATAATAACTTGAAAAAAATAAAATAGTTTTAATATATTTTGGATTATATATTATTCAGACTAATTAAATTAATTAAAACATTTATTTTATAAGAATAATAAATATTCATTTTATGTATTATATTGTATTTACTGAGATTCAAAATTATTGTTATTATTATAAATATTTTGCTTAACCTAAAAATGATTACAATATAAGCATTAAAATTAAAATTTATGAAAACTTTTTATGTGTTGTATGCTCAACATTATATTTTATAATACAAAATATAATTTCGTCACCTTATTTTTTCAAATAAAACTAATGTTGTTTAAACTTTCAACAAACCCAAAGTAACATCTTGAAAAAATGATTCATCTTGTAAGGCACTATATGAAAAAGTTAAGCAGTATAGCGTAAAAACATTTTGAAAAGTGTTTAAAACATTAAATAAAAACATTTAACGTTATAATATTATAACGAAAATATATTGCGCATTACAGTGAATTCCGTAATACATCAAAATGTCAAATATTATTCATTCAATGATATCAAAAACGGTTTTTTTAAAAACTATATTCAAACCATTTTTTTTTTTACAAAAACTTTGTATTTCAAAAGTTTTATTGGATTGCCTTAGAATATAGCCTGCAGTTGTCCTAATTTATGGTTGACTTAATAACAACTCTTAAGAATGCAGCTTTAACACTGACCCATTAAGTAAAATATTTTCCTTTGTTGATTTAAAATATGTACTCAATTGTACAGGAAAATTAAGTATTGTTTTCAAAAATATGATTTTATAAACGGCGGACTAAATCGTTTTCATTAATACATTGAAGCATCTATACTATTCGCATATATATTATGAATAATTGTAACAATAATTTTAATATTTCAAATTTTATTTATGATAATTACAATATTACTCAATATTGCTTTTTTCGAGATAATTAATATCGAACGTATAATAAACGTGCATTAGAAAATGGGGGAAGAGGAATAATAATCTACTAAACCTTACTATTATTTTGGAGTGGGAACGTGATATTTACAAATAACTGTGGTTGTTTGACAGATTAGTGGGTTCACAGTTTTTACATGTAATATTCCAGTGACCCGGGTAATGAGACACTGATGCAATAGCATTGGCTCTGACGACATATAGAATTACGAAAAATGGTACCCCCTTCTCTTGTACATATATATTCGCATGAACATGCACAGGCACGACGCACACAGACACTCGCAAACATGCATAATATGCATATATACTAGATGAGGCCTTTTGTTCGAGTACATAGCATAGCCTTTATAACGTGCATAACTAGACATGCACACTTGACAATACTGCCGACCCAACAACTTTGCTGTCTCTCTCTCTTACTCTCTCTCGTTTTCTCTGTCTCTATCTCTGTCTGTTCGGTTTGAACCATGGAACAATTGAGAGAGCGTACGCACACTGTCATGCTTCAGAGTAGAGGGTGTTGCCATAGCCACAGGTCGAGTACTCTCTGTCGTCGCCTTTTTTATGTATGTATGTATTCATATATATACATGCCTGTATAAAGTAGGGCAGAACTTGACGTTGTCGCTTTAAAAAAAATTTCCAATGGGTAATGCATAAAAAAATCTCTGAAATGCCATGGATATTAGAGAATAGGTAGGTACTGAGAAAAATCCACTTGGCGCCCAAAGACACAGCTTTCAAGTGCCCACTCGTGTAGAAATCGAGGGAAATTTTCTTTTGTCAGTTATTTCGACGTGGCCCACTTGAACGAGTCATTTCAAATAAGTTCATTACGCTCTCTACCCCAGACGATTTATTTTTATTTTTAAGAACTTTACCGTAATAACGATCACCAAAGCTTTTTTCTCTTTTCGTATACAAATTATTTTTTTAGATATTGGTCGTGTATTTATTATCGATTTTTTATGTATTTTATATTCATTAATCAAATAAAATATGTCTTATGATAGTAGATGTATAGAATATACATGTAAAATGTAAATATAAATACATTATCCAAGACCAATTTTATAATAAGTGTTTTGTTTTATTTAACTTTAATTTAAAAAAATGCTAAATAAATAACTATATACTATAGGTATAATATAATAATTCTGTTAAAAACCGATCAGACTAAAAATAATTTTAATGATATTATTTTGCGGGTTTTAAAATTATACGATCAATATAATTAGAATAATAAATATTATTGAACAACAGCTTAATGGATTATTCATATTTGGACGATAGTTTAAATTTTAATATTAAATTTAAATATTACAAAAGATATATATAATCCATTCTTACCAAACAGTTACTCTATGACGTTTATCAGAAATAATTGAAACAGTAAAACATACATTTGTAATTTTATCTCCGAATAATTTTTACTTGGCTACTTAATTTTTAACGACTATAACTCATGAGCTGTTATGTTCAAAATTAAACATATAACCGAATAATATTTCGTTCTAGTCATAGTTACAGCTATCTAAATGTAATACGACCATTTAAACGATTAAGTACCATTATAATATTTATATTCTAGATTATAATATAATAATGTTGCTGAAATGTTCATTTTCTTGGAAATTACTCATTAAAATGTAGATATAAAGTATTAAATAATTTTAGAATAAAATAAATTCATTTAATAATATAAGGCTTTTGGTATTTTCGTATAAAATAAAACAAAAAGTTTGAATTATAAACAACAAGCGGAATAATTATGCAAAAAAATAAAACAATATTTTAAAATAACGAACATACTACTTAGTACCTTCCTAAATATTTTGGTGTAAAATAAATAAATTATATATAGATAATAAATAATAACTTAAAATATTAATTATTATTAAAACATATACAACTGATAATAAATAAATTTAAATAACTATGCATAATTTGATTAAAAAAAATCTATTGATAATATACATTTTTGTGTTTTAGAATTATTCTATTTTTTTGCCTATATCATATTATAATAATAATTATTATGCTGTATTTTAGAAATTGTTATACACTATTTTTTCTACGAAATGAATTAAAATGATTAAATGTCTGCATGCACTAGTGTTCGAATTGTTCCCGATCGCGAATTGTCCTGATCCTTTTGTGCACATTTCGTTTTGGTCGGATACGGATTTTTTTTTATCGCTTTAATCCCGCGGGCGCGTTTCCGATGCACTACGCCCGGATGTCAGTTATTTACTTCCGGTTGGGTTCAACATAAAGGACGCAATCAAGTCACGGTGAACAACACTCCCAACGCCCATCCTTGCACAAAATTGTTAAAGGTCTTTCCAGTCATTACAAAAAGAAAGAAAAAAGCGATCGTTTACCGCCACCACCGTTGATGGAATATGAGAAAGACGGCGACAGTGGCGGCTTCTACCAATGAGATTGCGTTGGATAATCACTGATAGTCTTTCCAAAGACGTCCGTATTAATTCCACATCGGCTTCCGTAATCGGATATATTCTAGAAAGTTGTTATCAGTGATGAACACCGGTGAAAAGTTGCTGTCATTCACAGATAAATCACGTATTTCCCTGCCCCTTTGTGTACGCCAGTTTTCCAATTATTAAACTAGTCTTTTTGTGACGGTTTTAACTAGTTATCTCTGCGTTTTTCAAATCCTCTTCTTGTCCGCATATACCGGTTTTTGTAGGCAGCAGGCGCCTGTGGAAACCGCGGTGACTTTTGCATGCACTAAATTTGTTCAAACGCAATTAATAAAAAGCTTATAACGTAACGGGGAATCCACGGTAGTGGATTAAAACTTATTCTCTTTGTTTATCATAAATTATTTCTTAATATTAACCTTATTAACTTAACAGATTCATAACTGATTCCTGAACCTTAAGAGATTTCTTCCGCATCTTTACACGCGGTATTTTCATTTTAGCTGCACACATTTATTCTTACACAATCACCATTCTTTATTAAATATAACTTAAGCTATTTACTCGTAATAAATATTTATTGATTTTAATCAAGATCAATGATTTAAGTATTAGACTATTATGGTTTTATTTGATACGATTTCAAATATTAATTTGTTTTAAAGATTTTTATCATTATTATTATTATAGTTATTAACTTAAAATTTGAATAATAGTTAAATATTCAGATAACTATGGCTTTCTGTGCATATACATTTAATATTTAGAATATTATAAAAAATATAGAGATATAAGTACTTTATATTATGTCGATCATTGGATTTATTGCTTACATTATGTAATGATAATTGCACATAAATATAAGATTTTGACCTCCAACTATTTGTGAAAGAAAAATTTAGTGTAATAATTATGAGTACCTATTTATTAATAAATGTCTTGGTTTTTTTTTTTTACAGATTGATCCGAAAGTGGCATTTCCACGACGAGCACATCCGAAGGTAAATAAAAAAAACGTTTTCTTTAATTTTCTTTCATTATGTTTATATATATATATATTAAATACTAAGGAAAACATTTTTAAGTAAAAAATTTTCTTGGAAAAACGTATCAGGCTTATAGTATATTTGTAAGAAAAAAATTGTACACTCACTTGCCTAGTTTATAGATATGGATTAGTTTTTGTTAAAGCTTATTTTCATTTTATAGACCAGATATTGTTAAAAGTTATTTCCATGGTTATTTTTCTATACTCGCAAGGAGATGAGTTAAATTCACCTAGTAATAATTAAGTACATTTGAACATATTCTTATATGAAATACTATTCTATAATAATGAAACTAAAGATATATGTATACAAATTTCCGTCTTTAAAATCTAAAATAAATAACTTAAGCATATTATTTTTATTAAGTATATTCTAAACAATAAATATTTTTGATTTTTAGAATTTTATTTATCATTTCTTGTACATCGTTGCTGTAGAATTTTTAAATCAAATTATAAATCAATACAAATCTTTACGATACAAAATAGAAAAGGTTATAATGAATATACCTACATAATATTATACTATAGACAATTAGCGTTTTAATTGAATATTTTATAGTGATAAAATAGCCGTGCACTAATAATGAAGTTTTGTCGTTATAATTAGTTTAATTAAGTAAATATTTTTAACATTATAATTATCTAAGTTAGGGAAAAATAGTCAGAATGAGATACAAAACCTGGTGCAGATATACATAATATTATAGTAAGTACCTTTATATTATTACCGCATAGATCATTTCAGTTTATTTCTTATAGTTTTATAATACAATGAATCAATAATATTGGGTACCTAAGGTAATATGGTTGGAAATTTACCAAAAATATAACATAAATATAGGTATATAGTAAGAATACATTCTTTAATATGCCGACTGTACTTTGACCATGCATCATCATAATATTACACACATCCCCTTACATAATGTATAGCAGAAATGTATGAAATACCTGTACAAAGAGTTATTTACATTTGACGAGCTATGAGATGTATAGTTTGGTAAGAAAAAGAATGAATTATTTAACCAAAGTGATCTTCCTACTGAAAACGACGTGTATTTTTTTTTTTTTGTTATATATAATATTACACTATATATTATGTATATTAATATATTATTTATATTTTCCTATTTGTCGTCTTTCTATAGATACGAAAAACACAGTGTACATGTTTTTAGTTATACAAGTACGTTTACCAATTCGAACGCTTTAAAATTATTTTTTTTTATTAACAAAAACAATCCGCGGCTGCTAAGGTCATTGGATGTAACATACATTATACATTGTACATTATATTATTAAATTACAGAGTAGTTAGAAGAAGTTAGGTTATGTAAAATAAATGAAAATAAAAAAATATATATAAATGAGATAGGTACTAATATAAGATGATATAAAATAATAGGGGGAAGTGGCTTTATATACATAGTTGAAGGTGGTATGAGATGCTTGTTAAATTAGTTTGATTAGACATTTACAATATAATATATAGAAGGTTGTACAAAATTAGTTTTTTTATTAAAATTATGCTTGCATTTGGATAATAATTCCTAAAAACTATTAATGTTTTTCAATTGATTTCAAAATAAATTCAATGATTTATAAATAGATACAATGTAATAATAACTTAATTTTACATGGAAAAATAAGCAAAAGAAGTACTCACAAAAATAAAATAAAAATAAAAGGTATATAGATAATTATTTTAAACTTTTATGACATACATGTTTTTCTTTTTCACCAAGACAATAATTTCAAAAATTATTATTGCATATATTATATGTTTGATATTCACTGTGTAAATATTATATGTTACATAAAATACGTTTGATAGATACTTCAGCGTGGTTTGAATACTATAATGCTCGTTGTGTTTTAAATAAATAATTTAACTGCGACTACTGTAATATATCGTATAGCAAATAATATTCAAGTATTGTTCGTGTAATATCCTATCAAATCGCATAATATTACATTATATATGTATACTCTTATAATTATACATTTATATTTTAAATGATCATACATTTTTCTATAAGTTAACACTACAATTGTTTTATTAAAAAGAGTAGTAATGTATTCAATAACAATGATATTCGTAATGTAGACTAAATAAGAAAAAAGAGTTTAAGTAAATATATTTATGTATGAATATTTTTATTTTTATTTTTTACAAAGACAGTAGAACGAGATTCGAATTTTATTCGTTTATACATTTTGTAAAAGGGTTTCTGCTCAGGGGAGCAAGCAGACACTCCAATTCGTCCTGAACATATTGCCAATATTTCGAAATGCTGCCGGGCGAACATACATATTGTAGGTGGATTCGTGGATTTCTTGGATACACCTTGTTTTTATTGAAAAGTTCAAAAACCGGATGACTTGTTGTGTTCTCGTTTAATAGAAATAATAATAATAATAATAAAAAACAGGAAATTTGTACACATAAAATGTGTGTGTGTATGTGTGTAGTATGTACGCCTAACATTACGATACAATAGCAAAAAAAAAAAAAAAAATACCAACGGTTTTCCATTTGTATACGCTCTAAATGTAATTTATCCTCAATTTCACGCAAGAGGTTATTCAAATATGGTATTTTTTTACGTCTAATATCAAATGTTTTATTCACAATGACCATATTGCTGGGAATTTTTATCGCCAGCAGATCCTACACCTTCAGCCAGTACCTTCGTTTAGCGGTTTTATCATTTATACTTATCTATGTGTGCGTAGAATACTATAAACAGTATACATATATATAATATATGTATATTGTATATATTGTTCTAATCTACCGTCATTCAATTTATTTCTCCAGCACAGCAACGAAAGTGGAAATTGCTTGTTAATAAATTAAACCCTTAATAATTCTTTTTTGTGCGCGCCGCCGTGCAGTTTGAATTTCGTTTCTTTTCTTTTCTTTTCTTTTCTTTTCTTTATTTATTTATTTATTTATTATTATTTTTTTTTTTTTTTTTTTTTTTTGGCGGGCCGAGACACGAAAACGGAAATTATTACCGAGCAATATAAATTCCATCGGAACATTACACGACCGTCGCTGATAATAAATCACCGGTTGTTGTCAAGACGAGATACAATTAATATGATATTTTTTCTTCTTCGTTGCCGTCGTCTTCTTCCAAAATTAATACTGGCGAATAATGTTATGACGGGGAAACGAACGAAAATAATCCGACTGCGACACGACCTCACGGGCGCTACCGCCGTGTCACCGCCAACTCGTTTCCAACACGCCTTTGGTTCAAGTGAATCATTGTTCTGCCAGTCACTATATGTACACTGTTTAATTTAATGGGACATTGGAGTTTTGAACTTTAGCCTAATATGACAGCTATTAAGTTTTGTTTTATTGACCTTTGCAAAACTATACTATAACCTTTATATGGGGGCAGTCACTCATTTTGTCTGTATCTCGTATTTAAACTAAAAGTACACCTTAAATATTTGATGCATAAGTATAAACTATATATATATATATACTTAACACAATACTTTAATAAAACAGATGATATAAAATATACAAAATAAAGTGAAAATATTGTAAAAAATAATATAAAAATAGTAACTATATTGCAAACAAGAACAGTTTTTAAATGTTTTTTATTTTTATTTTTTTTTAAAAGTAAATCTCTAGACAAATTTCGCTTTAGACAACATTGATGAGGAGGACATGTTGCTGATGAGTGGATTTTTGTGGCTTAATAATTTAACGTGGAAACGTTTGTACTGGTTTTTAGCATTAGCTTGTTGACGGTGCGTATTGTTAGGTCTTTATGAAGTGATTCATTGGTATTAAACCATAGAGCTCCGGTTATCATTTTAAGGGTAATTGATTGGAAGGCTTGGATAGGACGTATATTAGATGGTTTTATAGGACCCCTAATCTGTATGCCATATGAACAAATTGGTTTAATTATGGCTTTATATATCATAAGGGTTTTAAATTTGAGCTGAATTTTGGATTTTAAAAGTAGTCTAAGTAAGTGAAAGCGTGTATTTGCTTGTTTACGTTTGAATTTTGTATGTTAGGCCCATGTGAGACGCTTATCAGATTCCTAAGTATTTTGTAGAGGGCTGAATTGGGATTGGTTTGTTGTTTATTTGAAGTTGTGTGCATTCTTTAGGACTTACAGATAAATTTACTTGGACTGATTTATCTTCATTGATTTTAATTTATTAATAATCGTGCAACATACTAAATTATAAGATTTTACTCATTTATTCATATATTTTTATAATTGTATGTGAGTATAATAATAAGTGTAAAACTGTAATTTAGTGTGATTGACTGTAAATTGTAAAATAGATGAATAATATTATAACTTAAAACTGTTGGTTAAAAATGATTTATTCATTTCAATTAAAATTAAATATATTATTTTATTAAATAAAATAAACAATGTATACTTATGGATATTAAATAAATTGCCATAACTCAATAATCCAAACTTCAATTTGGTGCGGTGATTAGTGTCTGCAGGATTTCATCTAATGCATGGGCTTCTTTATAAAATCTAACTTTTATATCAATGGTTATTGATAAAAAAACATATATAATTAATAATATAATAACTTAGAAACAATTTATTTTGACTTATTGAAAATAAATATATTAAACGCATTGTATCATACATCATACATACATTTACGATAATTACATAATTGTATTGAATTTTACATTGAAGTCCCTATATTGATTATATTATTTCAACAAACTTTTTCCGTTAGCCGATTAATAATTAAATTTATAAAAATATTAACTTACCAGCAATAGTTCTCTACTGGGGCTTCGTTCCTGTGTAATTTAACACTTCCTGTATAGTCGACAAGCATGCAACCCTATATAATTTTGAAAATGTCTGATAGGATTTAAATTTATGATGTAACCTAACCATAATAATTTTAGTTATCACATCATAAGTATTT